CTTCAGCGATTTGCGCCTCAGCGCGTCGATCGTCCAAATCGTTCAAATCGTGCTGCTCTAATCGCGCTTGAGGTGCCGCATATCACTTCCCGACGTTGCTTGAAGCGCGTCCACCATAGACTTTGCATGTAAACCTGAGGCTCCTGATGCTGAAATCGCGTTCGGTGTGAACGCACCATTAAATGCATTTTCATTGTGCTCTGTACAATGATGATAAAGGCATCATCAAATCAAATCAAATGTTAAATACCTTAAGACTTTTAATCAAGTAATATTTTTGAGGATACTACAACTTTTACTAAAGTAATTTTATGGTAAAATGCTTGTACTTTCACTCAAATATAACTTTGAGGTACTTTATACAACACTGGATAGCTGTTGTCTTTTTGTCCACTGTGTCTCTCACTTCTATAGACTTGTGATTTTCTCACTAGTTTTCAAAACATGAAGAGCTTCCTACACTTATGTTATATTTTAACTAAAAATATTATCTTTGGGAAGATTCGAAAGTTGGCCAGGATGTTTGGCCATCAACACAATATCCTGAACTTTAATAAACCTCTAGATTCACCATGTTGTGGTGACCTGCAAGGGAAATTCCATGTTTTAAGACATTAAAACAGAAACAATACCAAGGAGGTCACTACTTTTGCAACCAGTTATACATTAATACAACCACTAAAAGTCTAATTTATCCTTATTTAGTCTTAAAATAAAGATGTACCTAATATTATTTGTTGGTATTGAAATCCTAAGCAGACTTTCAGTGTAAAAGACCTTGTTAATACCCAAGTGTTGTTACTTTCAAGCTGGTGTTGATCTGTTTTTGATTACAAAAAGCTTGCAGACTACCAGGTTTAAAAATGTTAAAAATCTCACTGTATTGTTTCTGCCTCCTCGTGGAGTGTCTCTCTCTGGGCACCTCGCAGAGGACCTGTTGCTGTAGATTGTCCTGATGTCTCATGAAGTGAGGACAAACTGAAGGACAGCTCCTCTGCTGACACCATGGGTACCTCCTGTCCTGAAGCTGGACTTCTTCCTGCAGCGTCTCTGCATCTACTGGGCCTTGGACTATCCATGTCTTCATGCAGGGCAGAGAAACCTGTCCAGGTATGAAGACATGGATGCATATACACAGGGTTAGTGTATACGCAATAAAACATCCATATCACTATTCTGTTTAACATGCACCTTCACCATGGTCCAGAGCCATGGTCTGCTCAATCTCTGCGTAGGTATGTGACGACGTCTCCTCTTCAAATTTGTTCATTTTGGTTTCAATAAGGTGAACGATATCCATCCTGTTGATCATYGTCAGCCTCTTGAGAAGTGTCACTTCTGACAAAACAAGAAACAAATGTTAAAGGATCGGTTTAAAAGTCAATATATTTTTTTAAAGAAATAGTTCTGCAATTTCATGCACTTTAAAACAGCAAAACTGTTCCTTTCAGTTTGTCTGTAGGAAGCAGCAGTAGRGGATTATTTTACCTGTGGCCTGCTGTCCCTCACTCTCTGTCCAGAGTTTTAACAGGGCGTAGCTCTGGTCCTGCAGTGAGTTGGGGTTCTCAGTTCTTATCATGTCGATCTTCTCCTCACTCAAGTCCAATGCTCGTGCTAACTCTGCAGCCAAGAAAAACAACTTTACAAAAAAAATYAACTCTTTTCTTGATTTTGAGTTGAAAACTAATCAAGAAGCTCTTCAAGCTTGTTATGTTGGTGAGTGMTGTACAGTGTGTCTCACCTGTCCAGCTGAAGCCCAAGTGGTCAGCTATAATGGCCAACCGTTGTTCTTTTCTTTCTGCTTCATCCTGTGGATCTACTGCAAATACCACCAAAAAGCCATGAGCCGAGACTCAAACTACGCTCACACAATTTATCTAACAAATACAGTATAAAACTTTTCACTGGCTTTCTTGCTCTGATTTAACAGAAAGTTTGATCTGCATTCTAAGTTTCATGTAAAATGTACAAAGATAAAATTGAGGAACAGTGTGCTAGAACACTGACTAAATGTGTCTGTAAACTTGGTTTTTGACCAAAGCCTAAAAGTGTCCAAATGAAGCTGATTTATTTCCATTGGAAGCTTTAAGATGTTTGGGTCAACTAATGTTTGAACAAGTAAAACAAAGCCTTTAGGTCAATCTTGAGATTTTCAAACACAAAGAGGGATAGAAAGACACAGAAACAACACAAGTACAGCTCCAGTAAGACAGCAACATGGGTTCTTCAGCTACAATGGGACAGAACTACAAGACRGAGAGGCAGCACCTTTACAACTAAYGCACTACTGAGGTACGGGAGATAGAGAATAGCCCTTTAAAACAGGCTGGTACCTTGACTTTGGACTTTATCGTCTGGAATTCGCTGCATCTGTGTCTCAACAGGGTCGTCCCACAATGGTCTAATAGGAAAGATGTCTCCTGAAGGTTGGAACTGCAGCACTGGGAACGTTTCTCTCTCTATGACTGATGGATCAATCAGACTGCTGTCATCATCAGAGAGGGCAGCAACAGCCTCTTCCTCCTTTTCTGCCTCTGCCTGAGCCAACCTTGCCACCAGTTTTGCGGCTTCATCACTGATCGCTTCAAAGAACTCACTGGAGTGTTTCTGAGGGTTGCTTTTGTCTTTAATGGATGTTGACGTATGAGGTAACTGCCCACTTTTGCCCCGGACTGGCAATCTGGACTGAAAACCTTTCGATTTTGCCAATTCAGAACTTGAGGGACGACCCTGTTCTTTCTTAGCTGGTGACTTGGATTCTCCCTCACAGAAGCTCTTGGCTTTGGAAGACGTCTTGGTTTTTACATCCACAGAAGGACCTGCATCTGCCTCAGATTTTCTCCTTGTATCTTTCCTTACAGGAACCTTATTCTTTTTGTCTTCTCGTTTGAYGTTAGACTCAGTCTTGACAGTGCCAGCCTTGACAGGAATCTTRGATTTAGAATCCAAAGTGAAGGAGCCCTCCTTTTTAAGTGTGGTTGAAGAGGGCATCGCATGTGACGGAGAAGGAATCATAGATTTTCCTCGACCCTGAGTAGAAGATTTAGCTTGAGCTTTGACTGTACTTTGAGTCTTCTTAGTGCTSTGGGAAGCAGTTTGTTTAGACTTGCCTGTTGTTTTGGGGACTTCCACCACTGACTTACCCTCTTCTGGGGATGAATCAGATGACTCCTGCACCTGCTCAGGGTAAACTGATCTAGTGACAGTGGTTTCTGCAGTTTGTACATTTGTGAGTGTTTGTTCAGAGGAACTTGTGTCTAAAGCTGAAGTTCCTTCATTTACAAGTTTGTCTGTTTTAGTCTCAAGAATTTCAGGAGGTGTCTGATCATTCTTTGTAATTTTGGCTGAGGATARTGTGCCCATTTTAGGAATTTTAGACTTGATAGTATCAGTTTTACARCCTGATTGATCTCCTTCAGGTTTGGATTGATCAATCTTAAGCTCTAGTGATAGATTAAGGCCTATTGCTGACTCTGCCACTGATCTTCCTTCTAGTCTGACCTCTTCTAAGACTGGTTCTTCTAAAGGCTGTTCACCTATTTGAAAAAAGGCAAAGCCCCCTCCCTCCTCCTCATAGCTTCTTTTAGTCATATCAATAGCACCACTACGCGTCATCTCAAACAGCTTCCCTTCTTGGAAGAGGAAAGGATTAGGCTCACTGGTGGGAGTGCTCTCTTCTGTAGGTGTTCTACCAGGGGTCGTGTCAGGAGTGGCTTGCAGAGACGGACGCTCCACCACCAGATTGAGAATCTTCTGCTCTTCTTCTTTTACACGAGCTGCAAAAGCTGCATCATCCTCTCGCATGGCGGACCAGGACTTTGTGTCCACTCTAGCAGTAACTCCTTTGGATTCAGTTCTGGGATGATCCGAGGCCTGGTCACCTTCGTCTGTGTCGTGGTGGATGCCGACMTTAAGTTTTGTTTGATCGGAGGCAGCAGCTGTAGAATGCCCAGCCACTGCTCCCCCTGACTGTCCCCAGTTATTTTCCTTCACCTCATTTGTTGCATTCCCACCTGGTTTTTGCAGACCTGTCTGTGCCTGACTAACATCTAACTTCTGATTGTCCTTACAGTCTCTTTTATTTTTACTTGACTTCATTAAGATCTCCTGTTTTTGCTCATCAGTTCTGTTTTCAGTGTTTGATGTTGATGTTTTGTTCCAAGCATCTGAATCAGCTTGGACAGACGAGGGGACTTGTTCTCCCTGTGCAGGTTTCAGTTTAGACTTTGAGTGATGCTGGTCTGAGACAAAAGAAGGTCCCTCTGACGTGACAGTAGCTGATGTTGTGCTCTTGCCCTCTTTGCTGTGGGTTCCTTCATGCAAACCTGCTGAAAAAGGAGAGGGAGGTTGCACTTTATTATCGGGATCAATATTAAGAACTAACTGTGAATCTTCTGTGGGTCTATAAAGCCGACATTCACTTTGCGAAAGCTTCTCACTGCTGAGTTTTAGAGTTTTAGAGCTGTTATCCCCTATTTTTTCATCTGCTGAGGGCAACAAATCTTTTCTAGACTGTTTTTTACTCTTTGTCTCTTGTTCCATTTCATCAAATGTTTTTATTTTAGCAGCAATCTTAAACATTTCCTCTTCTGGAGTGATCTTTCTCTTAGTTTCAAAGCTGTCTGTGGAATCCTCTTCATCTGGGTCTTCAGGGATAACAGCTGCTTTGGATGGCACACACAGGAATGTATTGTCAGGGGGTTTGGGGTTTACCTCGTAACTTACCTCTTCAGAACTAGGAGTTTCAAGAGAGAGGGGACTCTTACCAGAACTCGTCATCTGTGACGTCTGCTCACAACTGTCATCAACAGCACTAGCCTCGTGGTCTTGAAGCAGCCTACCATGCAAAACATCTTGGGTGAAGTCTGCGGCTTTGGAGGGTTCTGGGTGGCTACAGGGTCTACCAGGATCTAGTAAGAATGGGTGGTTTTTTTGTTCTACTGGGCTGCTTTCCAGGGAATCGTGAAGGGGTGAATCCCTGGTAGGACTGGGTTCAATAGAGTCTGGGGACTTATGGAGAGAATTATCTTCCAAAACAGGGCTACCTTCAAGAGAGTCTCTATGGCTTATTGTCAGAGAGTCATCAGCTAATGGGCTGAGATTGTCTGACTCTGGTTTCAAAGGCAGCTCAAAATGTGCATGGAGTTGAGAGGGGGATCTAGAGGCTGGAGAACCAACTAAAGATGATCCTAACTGATGCTCAGGGCTGTCATCGTCACTAAGAAACGTTTCAACAGTCTCTGAAACTCTCTTTGTAAGCTTCTGAGGTTTAGATGGCTTAGACTCACTCTTCCTAACATAYATAGACTCACTTGTTGTGTGGTCTTCTGTAGCCTCACTGGCAGAGACAGGAAGGGTCAGTTCTGCAGACAGCTGGTCCTCAGAGGTCCCTACACCCAAGTCTCCAGACTTTTCTGTCTCTTTAATGTCAGTAGGTTTTGTGGGAGCTGATGGCAGAGCTGTATCTGTTTGCTGAGCAGACAGGCTTTCAGGGCTTGTTCCTGGAGTGGCCAGTCCTTCATGTTTGCAGCTGTCTTCAGAGCTCAGGTGAGGGGTTCCATTTCCAGAACTTGCACTTARTGAGTCTGCCACAGCCTCATGTTTACCGCTATCAGAGCTATCATCAAGGCCACCGTTTCCAAAGTCTCTAGTTTCACTTAGCTCGGAGTGAGCAGCTGACACTGGGTCTTGTGATGTAGTGTCTTTGTGGACCGGTTTGGAATCCACTGATACTTCTTGTGAGACCTGTGAGGTTGCTGGTTTAATGGTAGATGTTGACTGAAGAGTTTCAGATTTGGTGGTTTTCTCTGATCTTGTTGACGTTGTTTTGAGCTCAAATAAACCAGACTTTCTTTTTGAAGGGTCCTGTCCTGTTTGGAATGCTTGCATCAGCTCTTTAACAGACATAGTTTCCTCAAGTTTTTCAGATTGAGATTTAGGGGATTTGGGAAGGGTCTGTTTGGATGTAGGGCTTTCTTTGGCTTTTGGTGATGGTTTACCCATGACAGGCAAATGTGAAGGCTTGCTTCCTGTGAGCTTTTTACTCTTTTGCTCTGCCTCTACTTTCTGTTGTAAGGCTTTGACTTTGTCCTTTATTGACCCTATGGGAGTTTCTTCAATCACTGGGGACTTGGGAGATGCTGGAGTGGGACCTGCAGGAACACTAAGAAGAGCCTCTGCTGATCCTTCTGCCTGCTCCTGGGCTTTTCCCTTCTTTCTCACTGGTTTTTTAACATCACCAGTGGTGGCACTGTCATGAACTTTGGTTGGAGTGCTTGGTTTTGCACTTTTGCGTAGAACAACGTTAGTAATTTTTTCTTGTATACCCGTCTCCTTTTTAACTTTGACCTTGGAGCTCCCTGGTGCATCAGCAAGGTATTCCTTAAGGTCACCACTGCCCTTGATGGCTTTTGGTCTGGGAGTCCCTCTGTTAGGTCTACTTTCACGTAAGACAGGCTCCTTAACTTCTACCACAGCCATCTGTTTGGCCTCCTCTACCTCATTGTCTGAGAGGATAACCCACTCCTCGGCCATTCTAGCTGCTCCCTCCTCTGCTACGTCACCTTCACATGTCCCACTCCTCAGTATCTCACTGACTTTCTCTAGGTCCTCTTTGACTTTCTCAAGGTCTTTCTCCATTATTTCTAATGGTTCTCCAGAAACCTCCTCAGATCCCTTTTCTAGACCACACCCTCCTATAGAAGGAGAATTCTCTGTTGAGTCTGCAGTCAAGATGGCAGTCATTTTAATCAAATCCTGTTTCATCTCCGTCACGTCGAAAAGAAGATCTGGTTCTCGAATCAGGTCAGATTTCAGGACTGATGACTCCGTCTCTTCGTCTTCCATATGGAAGAAGAACAAGTAAGGAGTAAACAAAATCAAAAATTCAAATGAAAGGAGACAGACATTGGAGAAGGTGGTCAGGATAAGGTTGGAAAAACACTTCAGGGATCATAGGACAGCAAAATTCACAAAGGATTTAACAAACAGGTACCAGAGGAATCAGGCTTATACTTTCTTATGACTCTAGGGATGGTGGTAAAGGCTTAATGGAACTGATGGGAAAATATATGAGCTGGAAATAACTTGCTTATACTTTCACACCCACACTCACAAGACACAGCTGTAAAAATAAAATAAAATAAAATAAAGAAAAAATGATGCCAACTCTGAGTGAAACCATGGAAGTCAACAAGTGAAACTGAAAAAGAGAAGACTGAAGGAAACAGAAACAACTTGAAAATATCTCAAGATTGTTCAGATGTATTACAAATGTCAATCAGATGAGACAAAAATGGTTTGAAATCTGAGAATACTACAAGCACCTATTAAAGAAAGCCAGTGATGAGCTATAAAACAAAGATGTGACATGTCTTTTTCTGACTAAAACTAAATGAAGATCTCTCCTCTTCTCTGTTTAGCGTCATACTTTTATTCAAACTAAATTTGAAATAAAAACACAAGAAGAAYAAAAAATATGTAATAAATGCCAAAACAAATGAAACTGTGATGCCATATTACAAACACAAACAAAGTAAAAACAACTAAACTTTAATTAATGATGCATAACCTCATACAAGCACACATACACATAATGGAAGGCAAGTTATTTCCATGCAAAGCAAAGGGAAGAAGTGATGGAGAGGTCATGGAAGAGAGTGATTAACAGCAACTGAACAAACTATTTAAAGCTGCAACTTGACCAGAAGWACTCCTGATAACAGCTGTTCAGCATCAGTTATGACTGTTGTCCACTTCAACATCCAGAACACAGTGGCTTGCAAAAATAATTCACCCCCCCATGATAATCTTTCTGTTTTGTTGCCTTACAACCTGAAAGGTTTTATTTGATTAAATATAATGATGGAAGTCCAGTGGTTAAAGGTGGCAGGCTCATGGAGAAGTTCCTGCTGAAGTTTTGGCTATTTATTTTGAAGCTGAAGATGTTTTGCTTATCATCCAGGAAGCTTTCTCAATTCAAAATACTCAAATTCACATTAGTGGTGGATTCTTCTTGACCTGCACTTTCCAATTTGATATAGTTTTAGAGCAATTTAAATCAAGGTCCCCCTTTAAAGCCCTTATTCTGGAACATTTTGTGTGGGTTTTTATTTATGTCCTGATGCATCTCAGTAATCCAGGTAAAAAATCAAAGGAAAAAAAATTGTATAGGTCCTCTGGACGGGTTCTTCTTTAATGAAACATTTCGTCTCTCTTCCAAGAGACTTCTTCAGTCTGAGAGTTTCAGGCAAAATTCAGGCTTTTGAGTCCTGCCTCCAGGTGACTGATACTCACATCACATGGCTATCGTTCACAGGTGACTGATACTCACATCACATGGCTATCGTTCACAGGTGACTGATACTCACATCACATGGCTGGACAAATCGTCCATAGGACCTATAC